TCTCCCACCCCACCACAGGGGCCCAGGTCCACTCTGCCAGGCTGGTCATCTGGACATTGGCAGAGGAGACGGTTTTCAGTCTAGGGAGAGAACTGCCGTAGAGCCCAAAAGGACTGGGGAAGGAGGGGGATGTCAGGAGGGCTACATCCCTTTAGGCACCCCCTAGAATACAGAGCCCATGGAATCATCATGATGCCCAGGGGTCGGGTGGCATTTGCCTTAGGGACCCTCTTTTATCCCCTTGGGGGAAATCAAGGCCAAATCCAAGGATGTGCCTGCTGGCTCCATTCCTGCTCCAGGACCTATATTCTGGAAGCATCTGTATCCCACAACACAACAGTGGGTGCTGCTCTCCCAGCCCTACACAGTGGGGAGGACCCTTTCAGGACATTCTGACCCCTGAAGAAGTGGGTTTGGGAAGTGTCTTAGGGCCAGACCAAGTAGCAAATGCACTGACCAGGGCTCTCTGTTCTTTACTTCTGGGGTCAGAGCTGACCAGGGCCAGAGTCCTCTCTGAGGGCAAAGCAGGAACAGTTACTACCGAGGTAATTGTGATGACACAGGCATGTCCCGAGAGCCAGGTGGGTGTGCACATGGCCTCCCCCTCAGATCAGCTCTGTGAGATGGCTGCTCTTATCTTCTTTTATAGAGAAAGAAACTGAGGCCCAAAGAGGGACACGGACTTGCCAAGGTTTCGGGGCTGTCTGCTTTTCAAGTCTGGACACTTCAGTTCCAGGATGGGGTGCTGACTGGGTATCAGAAGGCACAAGGATCCCTGGGAGGGAACTGGTTAGCGTCACAGTTTAGAAATAGACTTGTCAGGGCTCCCACGATGGTAAAAGGGCCTTGCCTGGAATCCTTAAGCCAGTGCTCCTGTGGCTGTGTTTCCTGTGGTCCCTCCTGAGGAACTTAGCGCTGTCGGCCTCACGGGGCAGCCCAGTCCTGAGCCTGCTCCTGCCTCAGCCCAGGCCAGAGCCTCATGCTCCCCGGTGATCCTGAGGCAAGGGCGTGGAAGCCCAGATAGCAGGAAGGGGAGCGAGTGGCAGAAACAGGATATCAGGGAAGCAGGAGGACCCACACACACGCACACACAACTCCGCAGAAGGCCAGCAGCCCAAGGAGTTGCCATGTCAGGCAGACCACCATCTGCCTGGTCTGCGACCTTAAGTGATATCAGACGGGATCTTGGTGCCAAGGTCAGCGCTTGCTGGGCATTATTTCATTTAATCCCCACAACCACCCTCCACAGTTGGTAGATCTCACCTAATTGTACAGATGAGGAAACTGAGGCCCACAGTGAAGTGACTTGCCTGAGTTCAGTCAGTAAGTGGATCAGCAAAGACAGCAACATGGCCAGTCTGCAGCCAAGTCCATACCTGTGACCACTGTGCCACTGCCCCTGAGACCAGCTCCCATCTGTCAGTGAGCACAGTCTTACTTGCCCAGAGGGCTGTGGAGAGAAGACATCACATCCTGACTACACCAGGCCCAGCAGAGCTGCACACACAGCAGGTGTTGACCCAGTGGTCACTCCCATCCTCCTCTTCATGCCTCTGTCCCCATCTGTGCAATTGTTGAATAGGGTGGACTACAGGGACCTTGGCAGGCAGCCACACATGCCTTCAGGCCCAGGCAGGTCTGGACACTTTCCTGATGGGCTTTCCTGGGGTCCCTGCAGCAGCCTCCTCCTAGGACCTGTCCTGATCAAGCATATCTCTCCACCTGTGCTACCTCTGGGTCTATCTGGAGGGATGGGCCACTCCCATCAGGACATCCTGGACAGTTGCTTGTTCTGTCGGGGCCACAGCTCAGCTCTGTGACTTTCAGGGGGATGGAGCTGTCAAGGCTGGGCCACCTCACACAGGTGCATCTGGGGCATCAGCATGTATGCACGTGTATTGGGACACCTTGCCAAATACTGGGTGAGGAGGTGTCCTCATGAGCATGGACCCCTGTGCTGGCAGCCCCTGCCCTCACCCCCGGGAATCACATTGCTAACTTCCCCTTTGCCCCATGATGGAATCCAGCCCTACCCTCAGGGAGCTCAGCCTGGAGGTACAACAGGAGGAAGGGGGGCGAGCAAATCCTTCTATCCACCAGCTCAGGGGTGTTGTGGGGACAGTGTGGGGGGCAGGTAGGAGACTTCTCCTTGGAAGTGACACTTGAGCACCAGGCACATGCTTGCTCAGTAAGTGAAGGAAGGAAAGGCCTCCAGGCCTAGGGAGCTGCTGGAGCCAAGGCCTGCAGAATGGGGATCCCTGACAGGTTCAGAGGCAGTCACGACCCTGTGGCCGACACGGAGTGGGGGAGTGTGTGTGTGTGTAGATGGGAGAGGCAGCTGGGGCCATGTTGGAGGACGTGAAAACCAAGCTGAGAATCCTGTATTTTTTGAAAAATGTATGAATTCATTTGTCAGGGAGTTGGAAGGGAAGGCATCCCAGGAGGGGCCCAGTCTGAATAAAGGCAGGGGGTGGAAGTGAGTGTGCAGAGATGGAGGGTTGGCCCAGACAGGGGTGTCCAGACCCCTCTGGGAAGATGATATACTGATCTCCAGAGTCTGGTGGACTCTGCTGAAGTCAAGAAAAATCACGCAGCTCAGAGGAGTTATTGCCTTCTGCTGTCCAGGTCCCCTCCCGCACAGGCCAGGGAGGAACAAAGCGATGAGCCTGCTGCCAGGAGGAAGCCCCGCTCTCCAGCCCAGCTTCTTCCTCCTCATTTGATGAACTTGGCAGAAGGCCAGAGCAGGGGGCCACTGGTGGCCCATCCTGCCCACTCGGGATTTTCTTCAGGTTTCAATGCACGGGACAGGCATGACACCTGGAAGGGGAGCCCCTTCTAAACCCAGCTGTGAGCGGCTTGCCCCAATAGAGTGAGGCCTGTACTTGTAACCGGGCCTTCAAAGGCTCATTGTCTCTGGTCATTTATCCTCGTGTCTGTCCAGGGGGTTCTGTCCTAGCCTATGCTCTATGCGCTGCCTCTCCCCTGCATTGGGCCTTGGTGGCTTTCATCTATAATTGCTGTCACTTATCTGTCTCTTCTTCCATCCACACCTGTCACCAGCAGCCAAAGGGGGCTTCCTAGAACACACACCTGAACCTGTCCACAGTGTGCTTCCCGTGTGGGCGCCCTCCTCCTCGGCATCTTGGTTCCCCAGCGCAGGCTAGGGCCAGTTTACCTAAATGAACAGCCCTTCCCCCAATGACTGGGTTTCAGAACTGCTCTGGGTTGGGGGTGCTCACCCCCCAGGGCCAAGGAGATAAGCCAGGTAGCCACAAGGTCTGACTTCTGCCCTCAGTCCTTTCCTGGCATCACCTGCTAACTTGATACCTTTAAAGTTGGTGAGAGAGAGAAAAAAAAATGGGTGCCCAGTGCAGAGAAGAGGGAAGTCAGGGTTCCAAATGTGGATGCACACTCTGGACACTGTCATCCTCCTCTTCTCCCTGCAGACGAGCCCCAGAGAGAGGGAGTGGAAGAGCAGGCCTGTGGGAACTCTAGCCCTCCCAGGACAGCTCCCCATTTCACCCCAGGCCCCTGGTGCAGAGGGCAGGAGTCACATATGTCCTTATCTGGATCAGGTCCTCACAGTTGGAAGGTCAACCCTGGACCTGAAGCATGAAGCCAGTGGCTTGGCAGAGGGATCCCGCCTCTGGCCCCTTCCTCCTCTAGGGTCACCCTCCCACCTGCCCCTGGGAAGACACCAGGCATAACAGAGCCACCTAGACTTTGGCATCAGACTTGGCCTGTGTCCTGTCTTTGCCCTGTCACAGCCCTGTGACTTGGGCAGGTCCCTTTACTAAGGTCTCTGAAATGGGGACATTGGTGCCACATACTGCACATACCACACCTGGATGCAAGAGGTGCCAGCCACTGCTGACTCCCACCCCATCCACCCTCATGGCCAGAGCATCAGCCCAGCTGGAACAGGCCCAGGCAGCAGAGAGCAGCAGGAGGGGGCAGCCAGTCACACCAAAGGGTTGGGGGTCTGCTGCTCACACTGGCCAGCACTCGAGCTAGACTTCAAAGGTAGAATGGGTGTTTGTGGGATGGCCATGAGAGAGGACATTCCTTGCAGAGTGACTTGCATGAACAGACTGGAATTTCCTGGCCTGTGCCTGGCTCCTGACATCCTAAAATGTGGGGTGGATACCAAGAGAGGCAGGAGGGTGGGCAGCTGTGTGAAGAGGGGTGGAGGAGGCAGGGGGAGTTAGATGTTAGGGGACCCTGACAAGAGAAGGCAGTGGGCAGGGGATGCAGGGACAGGCGCCAGGGCTGCAAGGGGGGTGGGGGCTGGCAGAGGCCCCAAGCTGCTTTCCTCAGCCTCCACCATATGGCCCCTCTGCACACTGTATACATGCCCCATCCGGGAATGTGACACAACTGTTCTGTGCCCACTAATGCCCACTGCCAAGCACAGGGCCTGGTATGTGGTGGGCACAGGACAGCGAAACAGCCAGATGATAAATCAAAGCCACTTCAGTGTACAAATGTGCTTATTAGTCGTACATCAGTTGGCATCAGGGCTGCGCTCCAGATGGACAGGCTGCTCGACACTCAGTGGCCTAGCCCTGGGGGCTCCTGTCATCCCTGATGGTGGCCACATGGCCTCAAGTTTGGAGACAAGGAAACACAGCACAGGGGAGTCCAGGCCACTGCCCAAGCCCTCCCTGGCACGGTGCCCCTCAAATTGAGGCCTGGACCTCCACATTCTATGCGAAGATGTGCGCCCACCCTAGTCCTCACAGAGTCCCTGTTAAGGGCTGTGGCACAGTCAGTGCCCATGGCATTGGGAAGGGTCTTCTCAGTCCAGAGCAGAAAGCACTTCCTTCCTGAGCCCCATTGGTATATTTCTAAGCCAGGATTCCCTCCTCTGGGGCCCTAAGCACCTCTGTAGAGCTGAACCAGAGCTCCTGGGGGCTTGGGCAGGACAGACAGACTTGAAGGGGTGCTGCTGCTGGGCAGGGTGGGGGGCCCCCAGGGCTAAGAGCATGCCTCTCCTGCAGTTTGAAGGCTGCAGCAAAGCCTTCTCGCGCCTGGAGAACCTCAAGATCCACCTGAGGAGCCACACGGGTGAGAAGCCGTACCTGTGTCAGCACCCCGGCTGTCAGAAGGCGTTCAGCAACTCCAGCGACCGCGCCAAGCACCAGCGCACCCACCTCGACACGGTAGGCCTGAGGGGGAAGGCCGCGGGTAGGGGGCTGCACACAGGCCACCCCCACAACTTGTCTAGTGCAGAACCCCTGCTCTTGTCCTTTGGCCCTGTTGACAGGTGGAGCAGGGTAATTTTCTGGCAGGGGTCTGGGGTGTCCTGTGCATTATGGGATGTTTAGCATTATCCCTGTCTAGAGATTTTCTATCTCCCAATTGTGATAAAAATATCTGTGGACATTGCCAGTTGTCCCTCAAGGGGAGTGTAAACTGGCAAACTCAAAAGGGTTCACAAGTTGGGACGCCCTGATTTGGCCTATGGGTACCAGCCCAGGCCCCAGCATCCTTGCGTATCTGGGCCCCCTTCCTCCCATCCTCTCTTGGGGGCCCGTCGCCACACCTGGAGGAAGCCACTTTCTGCTCTTCCCACCCCATCCTGGGGATGGGCAGAGGTGCTCCAGGGCCACCTTTTGAGCCTTGAGGACTGTAGGTGGAGCTGAGGGGGCAGCATGAGAGTCTAGGCTTCAGCCACAGTGACCTGGCCTCCAGAGGCCCGGGTCTTTCCACCTGTCTTGATTGTGCCAGGCAGAGTAAACCCGCAGCTATATCCCAAGGTTGGTCCCTGTCCTCCCCAGAGACCTCAGCCCTTAACAGACACGGATTCTGAAACAGTCCCATGCTGACCTTGCTGTCGGGTCCTTAGCCCATTTGTCAAAGGAAGGAAGCAAGCTCAGGGTCAGTCCTATGCATGGTCACACAGCTGGACAGTGGCAGAGCTGACTCAGATCCAGGCCTTGAGACAGCCTTATTGGCTGGGGGCACATGCTCTGGGAGGACCCCAGCTGCCATGCACCTCAGGAAACTGGGTTCTTCAGCCAAACTCCAAAGCTGGGCCCCAGGCCTGCTTCTCTGCTCCTTCTGCAGATTTGGGGGAGCTCTGTGGCGGGCCAGGCCAGCCTGTTCCATACACATAAGGAAACAGGTTCAGGAGGGCAACTAAGCTTTCAGGCTAAGTTGGTGGCCATGAAACAGCAGAGGCCAGAGTGGAAGGAATACCAATAGGCCCCTCATCCAACTTTTTATTTTATAGCTGGGAAAATGGACCCAGAAAGGGAAGAGGGGACAGGAACTCATTGGGCCAGGCCACACCCTCCACAGTGTGTGTGCGTCTTTCTCTCTCATACATACACAGAGTTCAATCCTTGTGACAACTGAAGGGTGGGGCCATTATCCCCCTTTTGTAAACCAAGAAACAGACTGGAAGAGATCGAGTCACTTCTCTGCCACAGCAGGCCAGGGGCAGAGCTGGGTTACACCCAGGGAAGTCCAGTGCGTTTTGCTGGAAAAAGCTGACATGGCAGCACCCTGGAGGGGTAGAGCTGAGCAGAGGGGACAGAGTAGCAATGAGCAACCCCATCCCCAACCGAAAGCTGACCCCCACCATGGTCCAGTCTTCACTATCAAAGGCTACGCTGGGACCTGAAGTGAGAAATGATTCTAACAAATCCCCTGCCCCTTGGTTACTTCTCATCCATGGCACCCTGGCCTAGGTCCTGAGGGGTATTGTTTGTGCCTCAGGATCCCTAGTTATGTCCCCCAGAGGTCTCAAGGCAGTACCAAATCTCTGACCCCTCCCTACCTCCCAGTAACCTACCTACCCTGATTTAGCTCCTTCCTCCTTCCTTAAATTTCTTGGACCTAGCCCCAAAGCAACAGGCTTCTGACCCCAAATTGGTATGCAAGCAGAGCTCCAAGAGCTAGGTCATGTCAGCGCAGAATGAGCCACTGGCTTGTCTCAGGCCTTCATCTCCCCAAGAGGCCCCCGGAAGGCTGGGAGGTGCAGCCACCAAGCCCAGTACCCCACTTGCACTCAGCTCCCTGCATAGAGACCCATGCACCTCCCCAGGTGCTGTTATCTCAGCACCCACCCTCAGCATCCCAGTGGGCCAGGCCTATGCAAGGCGGACCTTGCTTTTCAGAAGGGACCCAGCCAGTCCCTAGCTCCTCTTAGCATTGGAGAATATGGGTGTCCTCCACAGGCAAGAAATTTTCTCCAGAATGGACAGAACCAGGCCTGGGTTCTGGTCCCAGAGGTCTAAGGAAAGCTATCTCACCTCTCTGGGCTTATTTCCTCAAAGGTAAAATACCTGCCTCTTGAGAAGAGGTAGAGAGAGGCCTGCAGGTGGTCTGTACAGCCCTTCCTTCCCTGCTGTGTTACTAACCCACTAAATATGGGCCACATTCTGCCATGCCCCAGGCATCCAGCGTGGGTTTGAGTTTTGGTTGCCATAGATCGCCTGTGTGGATGTGAATAAGCTGCTGTCCTGCTCTAGACCTCAGTTTTCCCATTAGCAAAACGGGTGGGATGGTAATCTCTCCTTTGCCCACTTCACTGGACCACTCATGCCTGCAGACCGAAGGTGTCCTGGCCACATGCACTCTGGCTGTGAGGTCTGGTGTATCATGTGGGCCTCCATTTCTTCCTCCACAAAGTGGGACTCAGAGGAGACCATGGATGGCCAGTGCATAGCAAAGTGCCTGTACCCAGAGAGCAGCCCAGAACAGAGGGCTTGGTGAGCTACCGTGGTCCATCGCACACATGCCGAGAGGCAGCCTTGCAATTAACAGGAATACAGCGGCCCTGGCTTTGGAGCCTGTGTGGGGACTCTAGGCCTGGGTTTGGCTGCTGGCTTGGGATAGCCATAGGGTTTCCTGAGAGCTCACAGGGGAGCTGAGCCTGAGGAATGTTCTAGACACGTCAAGCCCTGGAAAAATAAACATGGAGATGGGCCCTGCTGCCCTGTTTCCAGGAGAGTGTGCCTGTTACATCACGCTCTGTTTGACAAAGTGTGTGGATTTGTATCAGTATCCCCAAGGGACAGGGGCTGGCTCAGGGGCAGGGCAGGGCAGCGCCCATGGGGACAAGGGGAAGAGAGAGAAAGGGAATGTGTGCGTTGGGATGGGGTCAGGGCCTGTGAGAGAGAGACCATAGGTGTTGGGGACGAGGTCAGGGCTAGGAAGTGAGGGTTGAGGGGGGCCATGCGTGACCTACGGTGGGTGGTCCGAGCAGGGCTCCCCTCTCCTGCCTTCCTGTTGGCCTTGGCAAGCTTCTCACTGCTGTCTCTCTCTTTTTGCTCTCCTCCATTCATTAACCTGGCGACCTCTGCGGCAGCTCCAAGGTAGGGTCGTCTCTTTCTGCTTCCCCTCCCTGTGAGGTCCCTGGGCCGTGGCACCTCTCCCACCGCCCCTCACTCTGGCAGGGGCAGAGTTGCCTTGAGGTTTGGGGACGTGTGGTATGTTTGTCAGGGCACAGAGGTCCCCGGGACTTGTGCCGAGAGGTAGAACGCTCTCACACTCTCTCCTGTCCCTGCAGGCCCAGGTCAGGGGGTTCCCGGGGATCAGAACCACTCAACATGTTCAAGACTGGAAGCCTCTCGAACTTCAAGCCCCAATAGCAGCCAGAATCCCCAAGCAGGGTCTTATGGAAGCCCCTGGGGAGATGTCAGCTAGAGCCATGAGTCCCCAGCCCTGGTTTTACTGGGATTTGGGATCCAGTGTCCCTCTTCTGCACCAGAAGAGGGACCCATCTGATTCAGTGTCCCTCTGAACAGACCCAGCAGCCCAGGGTGGACAGCACTGCTGCCCAAAGCTTGGGCCTGTGGAGGGAGCAGGGTTCAAGGACAGATTAGAGAGAGGGGAAAGGTGGGTGGGGCACGGGATAGGGTGGGGACAGGAGAAGGGGTGAAGACAGGAGAGGGACCCTGGTCTCAAAAGGGCATAAGTGCCAGGTGAGGGTCTGTGTTCTAAGCACCGTGGAGCCACTGTGGGGTTTACAGCAGGCACGGCTGGCTTTGTAAGGAAGGGGGATGGGAAACCTGGGGACATGGCAGATCCTGGGGCAGGAGTCCTCTCTTGTCTTCCAGGTGAGCAGTGGGGGCAGGACTGGCCCACTCCCCACACACGGGGAATGGCCCCAGCTCTCGTGTGCTCTCGGAGGCCAGCACCCTTGGACCACCTGTAGCTGTTATGGGGAGGACCTGGGTAGCTTGGTCTGTTGGAACTCACCTGCATGCTCCCCACTGCTAGCTGGGTGACCTGGGAAGATCCTTCGGCCTTTATGCTCCCTCTTCAACTATCGAGAGGGGCAGGATAGTGAAGGGCTTGCTTGAAAGGGCAAGGCTGGCCAGGCTGGCCCTGTGCTGCCCCTCTCCTCTGTGGGCAGCATCTTGGAGAGGGCTCCTGTTGGCTCACTGCTTTGTTGCAGCTGCGCGATTCAAAGGGTGCACCTTTGTCAGAGCAGTGCCCCCGCCAAGAACCCATAGATTTCAGTTGTCCCTATTTTGCAGAGGAGAAAAGTGAGGCCCCACAAGAGAAGTCCCAGCATGGTGGGAGAAGGAGACAGAGTCCTTCCTTCACTCTTGGGCCAGGCACCTTTGCACACCTGAGGTCCATAACCTGCCCTGCACCCCGTCCTCCTCCCACAGTAGGTCACCCAGAAGGACCCTGGCCCTCAGGGTCATTCACTGACCTCTGAGGTCACTCACTGACTCTATGTCCCTCTAATGTTACAGAAGCCATATGCCTGTCAGATCCCCGGCTGCTCCAAGCGCTACACGGATCCCAGCTCCCTCCGCAAGCATGTGAAAGCCCACTCAGCCAAAGAGCAGCAGGTGCGGAAGAAGGTAAGGTGGCCTCTGAGCCAGCCCCACTCTGCAGATGCACTGCTTCTTACTGCCAGGCCAGCATCAGGCCAGGCACCCACACTGCCTGTGTGTGCTCACCATTGAGTGCCACTCCCCATCTGTCTGTCCATCTGCCTCCCACCTGAGCCAATAGGACTTCACCTGCCCAGGCTGCCCCCAACCCTCGCCCTGTTACCTTCTCCCTACGGCTCCTCAGTGAGCATCTGACATCTGTCCTTGTGCTGGACACTGAGGATGCAAAACAAAAGGCACAGTCCCCAGGATGACTCAGTGCAGCATGATACAGATGACAGCAGGGTGTGAGAGTGGTCAGGGGCCTGGACAAGGGGGCCCCTGCCTGTCTGCATGGGAGCAGGAGGCTACAGGAGGCAGTGGTCAGGGGTGGACTCTGAAGCCACCTGCATGCTCCCTGCTGCTAGCTGGGTGACCCTGGGAAGGTCCTTCAGCCTTGGTGCTCCCTGTTCTTCAACTGTCGAGAGGGGCAGGACAGTGAAGGGCTTGCTTGAAAGGGCACCAGTGGGGACTGAAGAAGAGCACAGAGGACTGAGAGGGGGCACAGAAGCTTGGAAAGGAAGCTGGCGTGTGTGTCCTTCTTTCCAAGGCAAGAGTGAGCACGGGGATGGGAAGAAAAGTGCTCCCCAGAGTGACCAGAGCTCGATGGCTGTGGCATGTGTGGGGCCCTTGGGCACTTGTCTGGCCCGGGCTGGGCAGCATGGTAAGGAGGAGGGGAAGTGATCCAGGGTACCTACCGTAGGATCAAGGCTGTGCCCAGGAGACTGGGCTCTGTCCAGAGCACAGTTGAAGCAAGAGGCTCTTGAGAAGAGAAGGGACATATCACCTGAGAGACACCTCTGGGCTGTGTATAAAATGAGCTGGGGGTGGAGGGAGGGAATTCCAAGGCCAAGAGCAAGAGAAATGGTAGAAGTCGGTCTGGGGAGAGTGAGGAGGGGCTAGGCTGGGCAGTGGAGCAGTAGGTACCCAGGACAAGACTTGGGCAATGGCATGGGTGGAGATGCCCCTTCATCAAGAAAGAGAACCTAGGGGCCAGGTTTGCAGAAGGAAGTGAGCAGTGGGTCCTGTGTTGGACCAGGGAGGGGTGTGAGCTTCTGAGGAAGCCAGGCCAGGGCGGAAAAGCCAGGGTGGGAGGTGGCAGAGCCTCCTGGGCTGCCATAGTTAGTCTTGGTGAAGAGGATTGCAGAGACCACCCGTATGACAGGAGAGTGAGGGGAAAGAGCGTATTAACTTGTTCAACTCAATATAGGGAACCTGCATCAGGCTCCAAACACTGTCCCAGGAACCACAGATCATAGCTGCCACTGGAACTGCCAAGGCCTTCTGGGTGCAGAGATGGCGTAGACAGGGTTGGGATGCTGGGAATGAGTGGGCTTCATGATGGGCAGGAATAGAGAGGCTCAGGATCTAGGGCTCTACCCTGTAGGCAATGGGGAGCCATTGGAAGTGGTAGAATGGGAAGGAATAGACATAGTCAGAGAAGGGGCTGAACTTCAGGGCGGTTGCCTCCATGGCTCAGGCACTGTACCTACTGCCTCATATACTGCATCTCATTTAGTCCTCCTGTGACCCTAGAAGTGGACACTATTCCCATTTTAGAGATGGAAACTGAGGCTGAGAGGAAGTTAACAAACCAGCCCAGAATCACACAGCCCAGAAGTAACAGGGCCAGGGTTCTATCCCAGACCTGTCTGTAGAACCTGAGTGCTCAGCACTACTTTCAAGTGGAAGTCTCTGAGTAGGAACAAGAAATGGCCCAGGTTTCAGCAGGCTGGGGCTCCCGGTCAGGAAGGCTCCTGTCCCAAGTGGACCAGTGCCCAAGGACAGGAATCCTGCCCTGGTTTTCCCAGGCTCCATACTTGGCTCCCCCTGAGCCCTTAGGGACTTAGGGCCGCAGATCTGCAAACTTCCCAACAATAAGCCTCCATTAGGAGCCACGGGATGATGAATCTTTCTGGGTAAAGCGACCCTTGTATTATGACAACTCCTTGGCAGCCCTGCTGCATTTCAGAGAGAATTAGAAATGCTTTTCTTCCTTAATTCTCCTCTCCCGCTGTTCCTAATCCCATCGACATTGCGGTCTGCAGGAACATGCCTTGGCCTCTTTTGCCAGAAACTTCATTTACATGGAAAACAGCTGCTGGGTCAGGGAGCTGGGAGCCTGCGTGCGTTGGGCCTGACGTGCCTCCCTCAGGCTGGTGTCGACCTTCAGCCTAGGAGGGTGGACACATCCTTGGAGACTCGCTCTCAGCCCCTGCCGGGGACATGGGTCAAGGCTCTCCCCTGCTCTGGGACTGTTTTGTCCTGGGTCAAGGGAGTGTTCCGATAAGTCAGTCCACAGGCCTCGGGCTCTACAGCCCAGCTCAGGGTTCCATCCCATGCACATGCTGCCACTCATCATCCAGGGTCCCCAGGGTACCCCCCATCCCCATTCTGGCTCCTCTGGAGAGATGGAGATGTTCCGAAATGACTGTCCTTGGGAACAGCCAAAGGCTGTTGGGCAGAGCTTGGCTTGGATTACCGGGTGCAGCCCAGTCCAGGCTTACTTTTAGCCAGGTCCCTTCGTCCATATACCAATCCCTTATGCCTGCTGTCATGTGACCACATGGGGCCCAAGTAGCTGGAACAGAGCCAGCCCCACACACCTGCTTCACAAAGCCTCCTTCACCATACCCATCACCTCTGCTCCTGTGGCAGGCGGAGGCGGAGCATAGTCATTGCTGCAAATCACAAGCAGGGTAGGCGAGACCCGGAGAGTCTAGGTTACTTATCCAGTGTACGCAAGAAGTAAGAGGTGCAACTGGATCTGAACCCAGCTCTTCTGTGCCTAGCACTGGACCGTCCACTGCCTCTTGTACAGAGGAGAGGCATGGTGGGGCAGATGCGGCATGCCTGCCGTGCTTTCCTCCCACTGCCTCAGTGCGCACACCGTGTGTGCTACTTACCTCCAACTGACCTCAGAAGGCCGATGGCTGCTCTTGGCTGTCCATCTAGCTTTGTGCTGAGGCCATACCACATGGCTGCTCCCAGCCAGAGACTGCGTGCAGCCCTCAGGGATCAAAGGTCACAAGCAGCCCCCTCCCAAGAGATACAGGACCCCTAACTCCCAGTCAAGAAGGCTTCCCCCTCCTGCCCTGGATCAGTGGGTCAGGGGGCATTCCCAGCCCCCCTGACCATGCCCCCTTTCTGTCACACGTGCACTTGCCCTCAAAATCCTGGTGTATCGAATCCCATCTTGGCAACTACTGCTTAAGGACCCAGGAATAACACAGTCCTCACATTGTACATCATCACCTCGTGTCATAGATGAGGAAACTGAGGTTCAGGGAGGAGAAGGGGCTTACCCTGGGCTGCCGACCTGCTTCTAAAACAAGGGGAGCTGGTGGACAGGTGGTCTGCCTCTAACGCCCCCTCTCTGCTTGCTCCCAAGCTGAACGCAGGCCCTAATGCCGAGGCCGATGTCCTGAGCGAGTGTCTGGCCCTGCACCAGCTTCACACGTCCACACAGCTGGCTGCCAGTGACGGGAAGGGCAGTCGAGCCCTGGGCCAGGAGCTGCTCCCAGGTAAGTGTGCAGGGAGGTGGGGCCGGGGGCTGAGCATTCCATAGAGCAGGGATGCTCCCTGGGCCCTGGGCCACAGGGCTGAGACCTGTCACAGGGCGCCCACTCCTCTGGACTTGATTGCCTCCTACCCACCCTCTGGCTCCCGACCTTCAACCCATCTTCTCCTCCAGCTCATTTCACTAGGCAGATGCCCCTCCATACCCTTCCATGGCTCCCACTGCCCATAGGGAAATCCTGTGCTTCTCAGCCTGGCCTCACCAGGCCTGGGAGCTCTTGGAGTCCTCTTGTCTCAACCTTGGCACTTTGGATCCAATTTCCTGAATATTTTGCTCCTTTTAACTCTGAAGAACCCCACCTTTGCTGGCCTCCCCTCCCCTTTCTTTACTAAGGGGGCTCCTGCTCTACCCATAGGACCCACCTCCTGCCCACTCCTCCAGGAAGCCTTCCTCTGGGTTGCCTGCTGCTCCAGTGCTGAGCACTCTGGGATGTCACTGTTTCCCGTCTGTCAACCTATCATACTGACTGTGAGCTCCTCTGGGGCAGACTAGGGTCCTCCTCACCACAGAGTCACCAGCACCCCAGGCTGGGGGTATATGCAGCACTGCCCCAAACATTGTGAAGAGAGGTTGTGGCCCTAGGTCTAAGATCCAGGAAGAACCACCCATTTTAGCCAAGCATGGAGGTGCACACTTGTATTCCCAGCAGTGATCAAGATTTCAAAGCCAGCCTCAGCAACATAGTGAGGCCCTAAGCAACTTGGCAAGACCCCGTCTCTAAATAAAATATAAAAAGGGCTGGAGATATGGGCCAGAGGTTAAATACTCCTGGGTTCAATCCCCAGTACTAAAACAACAACAACAACAACAACAAAACATTTTGCACTGGCCATGGCCTGAAGGCCTGTTTCATTCCCAGCACAGCTCCTGCTTCAGAAGAGAAATCTAGGGCTGGGGTCGTGGCTCAGTGGTGGAGCTTACCTAGCATGTGTGAGGCACTGGGGCAGACTAGGGTCCTCAGCACCACAAAAAAAAAAAAAAAAAAAAAAAAAAAACAAACAAGTATTATATTCATCTACAATTTTAAAATATTTTAAAATCAAAGAAGAAGAAAAGAAATCCCAGGCTCCCAGAGGGTGGGCAACTAGGCCAAAACCTACTACCAGCTCATCATTAAACTCTGGCCCAGAAATGGGGCTTCCTGAGCCCCGGACCCTGCAGGCCCACTGGGCCTGACACCCAAAGCCTCTGGTTTGGCCAAGGCAGCCTGGCTATCCTTCCAGCAGCTGCCGGCTATGGGGCAGGTTGTAGGCCACGGCAGGAATTCCTGGCCCTGTGGCTTGGGAATCCAGCCCAGATGAGGCAGCATGGTCTTTGGATTCCAGCTGATAGTTCCTGCACTCTGCCCCTGAGTCTCCAAAGAAATCTCGGCATTAGAGAGAAAGCTGTGTCCGCCCTCTGGGATTTCTTGAATTACTCTAAACCATTTGAAACATTTTTAAAAATTTTCTCATTCTTCTTCCTCTCAACGTTGAAGGAGCAACAGATTTTAAGATATGTCAAAACCTTCCCCAAAATCCTTGGGGAAGCAGGTTTTCACCCTTTCTTCAGGTGGACCCTCAGGAAAGGGCCCACTCCCTCCCCTCCAGCTAGGGCCCCTCTACCATGGCTGCTGCTCACAGGGTCAGAGTTCCCAAATGGCAGGGCTGAAAGAACCACACGCAGGACCAGCCCATGGATGAGGACACACGGGCCAGCACCCAACAGCCGGTTGGGACTGCTTGGAGCTCAAGTTGGGGATTCCTGGGCTATCCCAGACTCCATGGGAAAGGGCACTAATACCACCAACGGCTGTCCCAGGGTGAAGGTCCTGCAGCTCCAGCATTCCTACCTTGGGAGGATCTGGACTGGGCAGAAGGACTAACCAGGGCCATCCAGAAGAGAGTGGCGGGTCCAGATCCGAGGGCTATTTGTTTTCCCAGATGAGCGCAGAGCTGTCCTTAGGGAGAGGGCTTCGGGCAGCAGTCATCATCTCTGGGGCACCTTCTTGGGTTGGTCCCTTGACAACACCATCTCACTTGATGCCCAGCTGTCACCCATGCCACAGATGAGCAGCAAAGTCCACCAAAGGCAGTGTCACAGGGAGAAGGACCTTAGGCTAATGCCAGCCTGCTGGGACCTGCTGCTCTGACCTGAGACAGCGAGGAAGTGATACTTTCCTCCCTGCTTTGTGCCTCAGTTTCCTTCCCAAACCTGCTGAGAACACCCATCAGGAGCGGCAGAGGGCCTGGGCCTGTGCATGTCAACTACAACCCTTGCCACTTGGAAGGCCCCAGCCTGCCTGCTGGGAAGTGACAGAGGCAGGGCTGAGCCAGGCCCTGAACCTGAGGCTGTGCTTTTACCTGAAAGTCTAGTGCCCTGCTGCCAACACTACCTCGATGCCATACTGAGCACCTACTGTACACTGCCCCTGTGCTGGTCCCTGACCTTCAGCTGTTTCCATCACATTGAGGATGGGGAAGGAACAGTCAGGCAAACCCAGGGGCCCTAGATTCCCAGATTCATCCTACAGGTTCTTCTGCAGGCCACATAGTAGATGGCTGAGGCACAGCTGGGAGCAGATGTTAGGGCCAGCAATTAGGCATACCTGCCTGATGATTGACAGTGCCTCTCTACAGCCTGATGAGGAGTGTTTGCAGGGAGGCTTCTTGGGTTCTCGCTCTTGCTGATTATAGGAAGCTCCTGCAAGTAGGAGACCCTCAGGAGCTTACCTGGCAGGTCTGTCTTCAGACTCACAGTGCCATGATAGGCAGGGAGGATGTGGGTGAGAAGCATGAGGTCACATGGCTGGGGAGAGGGAGCAGGACTATCGGGACTCCAGGCCTTCCCAGCTGACAGGCCCCAAATTGGTTCAAGATGGTAGGCAAGGAGGGGCTGAGGGAGTGGCGAGGGAGAGCCCTGTGCCAGGCTCCCTCTAGAGATCCCCTCAGTGCCTTCCTGTGTGAGCTGGCAGTGATGTGGCCCTAGCAGGGAGGGCACCTGATAGATGGAGAGACAGGCAGTGCCTCCCATGAGAACAGAGATCCCCAAGGTGGAGGGGCCTGTGGCTGAGAGCTGGAGGGTGCTCGGGACCCACCCCGACCCCAGAGTCTCACAGCTAGCTGGAAGCCTGAGCCAGAGCTGTGGCCCCTAGCTGGACATCGAGCCTGAGACAAAGCCACTGCTATTTCCTGGGCCAGCCTCAATTTTGGACTTTCTTTCCATATGGCCTAGGAGGCAGGCCTGAGTAACTGCCCACCGTGCGGCTTTGGGCCAATCATGCATCTTGTTAAGATTACTTTCTTCATCTCAAAAATGGATCATATTATCTCCCCTGTCGACAGTTTGAAGATGATTAGGCCACCTATGTGGAGAGTGAACTTGGCACACACACGTTCATGAGCAGGACGTGACTCTTGTCTCAGAGGAGACTTTCGCCCAGCTCAGCCCAGCCACAGATGCCTGCCAGAGACAGACTGAGGTCTCCAGGCCAGCGCTACGTTGTCCAGCAGTTCCAACACAGACCGTAAGGGGGCGCATTCTCTCCGCTGGCTACAGTCTATTTCTTGCCCCCTGCAGTCCCTGCCAAGCCCAGTTCCCTGCAGCAGCCTCTGGAGTTGCAGGCCCAGGTCAGGAGATCCAGCCTGGGATGTGCTAGTCTTGGAACCGCAAATAACTGACAAGTAAACTGTACCCCATCCTTGAAGGAACCTGTCTTCTCAGATTGTTTCTTATTGCCCGATAAAGACCAATGGGTCTAGATGCACAATGGCCAGAGTGACATTCAAGAGGTCACACCTGGCCATGAGAGGGGGCACTGACCAGGTGGAGTAGATGCTGCACTGGTGTAGCCCAGACCACAGCTGCTGGGGCCACCAAGTCCCCCCAAGGTTATCACCTTGATGCATTGATTTCAGGGAAGATGCCACTTTCTGTTCAAATAAAAACCTGGCTAGATTGAAGAGAGAAGGCAAAATTGGCCTCATTTTTTTTTCCAGATAAAATAGGGAGCATCAAAAACTTGGCAGTCCTTGCTGTGTGCCCCCTCAGGCTTCTATCCCAGAGGAAGGGTTCCTCAGTGAAGGCAGTTAGAGAATGCTGGCCTCGATAGTTCTAAAACTCTCAACCTGGGCCAGCCTCAATTTTGGACTTTCTTTCCATATGGACCAATACCTGACTGATCTAATGTCCCCCATTGATTTATTAGCCCACCTTCTTAACAAGGGGGAGAGATGGTAAAAGGTGGGATCGCCCTGTGTCTTCTTTTTTTTTTTCTTTTTTTTTATTGGTTGTTCAAAACATTACATAGTTCTTGATATATCATATTTCACACTTTGATTCAAGTGGGTTATGAACTCCCATTTTTACCCCGTATACAGATTGCAGAATCACATCAGTTACACTTTCACTGATTTACATATTGCCATACTAGTGTCTGTTGTATTCTGTTGCCTTTCCTATCCTCTACTATTCCCCCTCCCCTCCCCTCCCCTCCCCTCTTCTCTCTCTACCCCCTCTACTGTAACTCATTTCTCCCCCTTGTATTATTTTCCCCTTTCCCCTCACTTCCTCTTGTATATAATTTTGTATAACCCTGAGGGTCTCCTTCCATTTCCATGCAATTTCCCTTCTCTTTCCCTTTCCCTCCCACCTCTCATCCCTGTTTAATGTTGGTCTTCTTCTCTTGCTCTTCTTCCCTACTCTGTTCTTAGTTATTCTCCTTATATCAAAGAAGACATAGGGATAGAATCTGAGGCTAGAACACAGCTGACTTCTCAGTTGGGACCCTTAGGCAGTGTACAGTCTGAACAACCACCCATGGCAGCTCCTCTCAGAGGTCTCCCAGGCCAGCTGGGGTGATCATCTTTTCTTCACAACCTTTCACAGGCACACCTCTGAGAATGGATAGCTCACTCTACCCAAAGGCACTCCATTACCCTGCAGCACCCTTGCCTATCAGAAGGGACCACCAAGCCCCGAGAACTGGTTCCTGCTTCTCTCGAAGTTCTTTTTGTTCCATGTCCCCATCAGGGGAAATTCAGAGCAATCTCTGCTTCTCCGGATGGCCCCATAGAGGTCTGCGGGGGCCTGCTCCATACAAGCCCCTACCCCAACACACACACACACACACACATACACACACACACACACACACACACACACACAGGGTCTGAACACCCTGTGCTTCTCACAATCCCTTGCCAGCCCTCTTCTGCCATCAGAATTGTCCCCAGCTGGACACAGCCTTTTGGCCAGGGCCTAAATCAAACAGAATGGGGTCATCACCTTCCTTGTCTAGCACCTATACTTCCTCTAATACAACCTTACTCATTTCCCTTCTTGTCGTCTTCTCTATAAGTAGGCACGCGGTGCCTGGGCCATCCACAGCCATCTCTAGGGGTGGCCAAAGCCCAGTGATATTTGCTTGGTTCCCCACAGGTGTGTATCCTGGCTCCATTGCCCCTCATAATGGACTTGTTCCAGGCATCCTGCCCCCCACACATGATGTCCCTTCCAGGCACCACCCATTGGACGTCACCACCAGTTCACACCATCATCTGTCCCCTCTACCCACAGCTGACAGTACCAGGGATGGGTACGTACACCATACCAGTTCTCCTTAGGGGACATGAGTGGGCAGCAGGCATCCTGCGCTGCCTGGGCGTTCTGAGTGATGGGGTAGCTTGCATCTATGAAGCACTTACTGCATGCTCTGCTCTGTCTCACACTGTCTGGGCACCTTCATTCTTGCCTCCCAGTGACCCTGTGAGGCAGATGGCATTGGTCCCTGACTTCTGGGGGTCCCAGGAAGATTCTGTGCCCCCACCTGTCTTCTGTCACCCCAGGCCTCCCTGGGAGCCTCGCCAGGCTTCTCTGTGCTCCTCGTGTTGGATGAGTGGACTCAACTTCCCGGGCCCCCTGCAGGCATGCTGGCCTGGGCATCTCTGGCCACTGCAGCTGTGAACACAGCCCGGCCTGCAGGTCACTGCAGAGGGGGTCGCTCTCCCTGCGTTCAATGTGGTTTTCACAGTGACCACTGATTACCTGGCAGTGTGTTCCTTGCTGACCCTGACACTGCTGAAGTCTGTTGGGCTTGTGCGGAGTACAGAGAGGCTGAGGCCCTGCCATTGTTGTTTGCCATAGCAGTGACTTGATTTGTCACCCAAGGCCTGGCCCCAGCAGCACCTTCCTCCCCACGGCTGTAGCCTTCGCCTTGGCCAGTATGTGCCTGGGACCAGCCTGGCTTCACCACCCACTGACCTTAACTGGGCTCCTTCTCCCGTTCATCATCCATTCCTCTGTGTTCCGTTATTGAGTGCCACTGGATTGGCCCTGGGCCCAGTCTGGGACCATCAATCACAATGAGTGGGAGGAGGAGCAGGGGGAGGACAGGCCTGCAGAGACTGGCCATACAGGGCAGGTGCACCAAGGGAGGAATCCCCCAGGGGAATCCAGTGGGCTGGGGCTAGGGGAGAGCATCAGGGAAGGCTGCCTGGAGGAGGCAGTGCTAAGCCAGGCTTTCAGGTAGAAGGCAGGGTTGTGTGGTGGACAGGTGGCAAAGGAGGGAGAGCATGGCGTGCTGCCATTGTGTGGGGTGCCAAGTGTGGGGAGAGGTCACCAGGGCCAGGCCATGAGGCCCGTAATGGGGCTGTGTCCTGAAAGGTGTTGAGCAGTGATGTGGTCAGGTTTGGGAGGAGAATGTGCCTTGCCCATAGCAGGAGGCTGGACCATGGTGGGATGGGATGCAGCATGGCAGCCTGAGCCGGGCTGATCTAGACAGGGGAAGGGACACCAGAAGGCAACAGTGCACAGGACAGCAGAAGTCAGGAAACCTGGCTGGGCAGAGAGGGGGGCGCATCAGAGAGGAGTCCAGAGTGGGCAGAGCAGACCGCAGAGCGTCAGGATCTGTGGGAGATTGTGGTGGAGCGCGAGCAAACAGCCACGAAGAGGCAGCCTGTTGGGGTACAAAGGGCGACCCAGAAAACGGAGCCCTCCCTGAGGCTCAGTGTCTTCCTCTAGAAACCTTCCTGTAGGAACACGGTGACGGTCAGCTGCACATGCCTGACGTTTTACGTGTCACCTGGTATAGGTAGCTTTGACAGGAACCCCCTGCCCCCCACCAGCTTAGGCCACCTGCTCACTCTTCAGCTGGCCCCAAACATCTTCAGCCCCATGGCTCAGGCCAGTGCCCTCTGCTCTGCCTCATTCTCACCTGCCTGCCACTGCGTGGGTGCCGTCAAGAATCTCTGCAGCCAGAGGCAGGGTGGTGACGAGACCAGATTCTGTCTGCCTGCAGAACGGCCAGGAGTCACCCCCCAGCCAGGTGCCCCAGCTCTCAGTTTAGCATGGGGGGAGGGCCCTGTGCCCCTCGCCAGCCCCAGGCTCGGCCTGAATGGGTTCCTTTTTCAACCCCTGAGAAGAGAGTGGGGGAAGGGACTCGGCCTCCCTTTCCTGCCAAAGTCAACAGGGAACGGCCACTCAAGGCTCCCCAGTGGTTTTCTGGGACGTTTAAATAGCTTGACAGAATTATCTGATTCACTCAAAAATATGCTAAGAGGGCCTGACTTCATGACCAAATGTATTTACCCTGGCTCAGAGAAGACGCCAAATAGGGTGGATTTTTCCTGGTCCTGGGCGAGGTATGAGCCCTTGCTCTGCCAGGCCAGCCAGAGTTCATGTTCAGGTCCCTAGGTTCCAACCGAAGCCAAGCATCTGATGGTGGATGCATTGGCATGACTCAGAAGGGGGCTCCAGGTGACCTCTTCTCCTTCGGGAGTTCAGGTGGAGCGGCTTAGCCTCTGCCCACATGTCTGCTGCGGGTGGAGTGGGGCTTTGTCTGACTTTACTGACTGTGAAGGTGACAAATGTGCGCTTGGCAGGTCGCACAGGAAAACAAACCTGGAGAAGGCTGGAGCTTGCCCGCTGGAGCTGGCCACTCTTGGGCAGTGCTGTTCACCACGATCTAGAAACCTGTTTGCCAGAGTTATCAGTTGTTTGCCATGTGAGACCCTGTTCTGGACAGCAAGGACCCAAAGGGCAGAGAGCTGGGCCTCTCCACAGGCACTGCCAGGACAGAGCTGGGCCACAAGTGCCCAGATGGGATGCAGACCACACAACAACCACAGGATAGCTGGAGGATGCTCTCGGGGCTGACCTGCCTCTGCCTGTCCCTGCCCTGCCTTCAGTGATGGACCCCAGATGCATGATGGCAGCACAATGGAGGGGCAGGGACAGTAGGATTCCCAGCTGGAGGGAGCAGAGTGTGACCAAGCACAGCTTCAGACATAGAGCTCCATCCCCAGCCTCTCTCCATATCACAGTCCTACTTTCCTTGGAGGGCAGATCTGTCCCAATAAAACCTCATATCGCAGAGAATGCGTGAGGGTAACAAGGTCACCTGGAGCCATGACACTGAGTTTGCAGTCTACGTTAATGCAGGTGTCCAACAAACCCAAACAAGAAAATGGAGACTGAGTTCCACTTTCTCACCGCATGTGGCTGTAAGCCAGGGGCTCCCGTGGCCGTGCCTCTGTCCCCTGAGCCTCCTGCTGACGTCCCTCCTCTCTGTGCTCTACAGGTTGGGGCCCAGCCTCCTCTCACCCATGGTCAGCCCTCTAAAGGGGCTTGGCCCACCACCGCTGCCACCGTCCTCCCAGAGCCAGTCTCCGGGTGGCCAGCCCTTCTCCACGCTCCCCAGCAAGCCGTCCTACCCACCCTTCCAGAGCCCTCCACCCCCGCCCCTGCCCAGCCCACAAGGTAAGCCCTGGCCTGGCCCTCCGCACCCACGCCCATTCCTGGGGGACCCAAGAGCAGTGACACACTGTCCCTGGGAAGCCGATGGGCACTTCAGAAATGACAGGCCAGCCACTGAGGTCCATGCTGGGCAGAGATGAAAGATGGGTGACCTAGAATGCCCAGTCAGGGTACTTTCTGGAGGAAACTGGTTCTGAAAGTGAGGAGTGTGCTCCGTCCCCCAGCAAGGAAGGGCTTTTCCAGAAAGAGAACAGCATGGACAGTGCTGGGGGGTGGGCGAGGCCTGGGTGCCATTTGGGGACAAATGACACCCCACCTCCCTACCCCACAGGGCAGAGCTGGGAACAGCCCAGGGCTCCCAGCACCTTCCCTGCCCCACACCCCCTTCTCTCCCTTACACCACGATGCTCAGAGAGGACAGCATGGCTGTGCGACGGGCCCTCCCGGCCTGACCTTGTCCCTTTGTTAATGCAGCCCTGCCACATCCCTCCACAGGCTACCAGGGAAGTTTCCACTCCATCCAAAATTGCTTCCCCTATGGCGACTGCTACCGGACCACAGAGCCTGCAGCCAGTGGGGACGGACTGGCCGGGGAGGCCCACGGTTTTAACCCCCTGCGGCCCAATGGCTACCCCAGCCTCAGTGCGCCTTTACCTGCCTCAGGTGAGCCCTGCTTGCGAGCCTTCCTCCCCTGAGCACCCACCAAGGTTCAGCTTTAGGCACATTGTCCTGGGACAGTCCTGTGCAACAAGGTCATCCCCACTTATGACTCAGAGCCTCCCCACAGGAAGGTAGTCAGACCCGGGCCCTGCAGAACTGGGCTTTGCACTGCATGACTGGAGAGGTCAGTGTTCCTTCCAGAAACTCCCAGCTTACGTGTGTCTAGACTCAGGGGTTTCTGAAGACACAGAGAAGAATTAGACTCTTGGCCTAACCAATGCTTTATATTGATTGAGTACCTACTGTGTGCCTGGTATAGCTGTGGACCCTGCAAGTAGAGCTGGGAATGAGACGAACACTGATTCCCATTTAGCAGGCACAGAAACCTGGGCTTGTACTTGTCCTCAGGCTGCTTCTGACTCTCCTGCAGGGCCCTGGGATCCAGAAGTGGGAGGGCCCACCTCCCCATCCCTGGCTTGTGTGGAGAAGCCAGTGAGAGGGGAGGGCTCCAGGTGGCCCACTGTGGACTCAGGCCCAGAGCAGCAAGACAGGCCTGGTCAGGGTGGGAGCTTCAGCTAGGTGGAGTGGAACCTCCCTGAAGCCCCAGGTGCAGATCTAGCTGGAGGCTCCAACACAGGGGAAGCTGAGAGCCTGCCTCAGAGGGTTATTGGGCAGTCCCGAGTACCTGCAGCCAGGAGTAGAGGGATAAGGACATAGAAACAAGCACCGCGGCCACATCTGTGCATGGGTCCACCTGTGCATGCTGACACAGCTGCTCCTGCGTCTGTAGTCTTCCGATGTTGTGGGGCTTGCGTGGGCATGTGTGGTGTGCATGTGTGTGTTGGGCTCTCAAGGGAGCTTCTTGGTATAAGGAGCTCCCGGGACATGCGCCTTCCTGTCTGTCATGTGTCCTCAGGTTCTCCTGTGCCCATGGTCATGCACCAGTCAGCATGCATGTTACCCACCCCATGACTCACATCTGTGTCCACAGGCTTGGGTGTACATGTGTGTGCATCAGCATGTTTGAGCTGGTTTGTGAGTCTGAGTACAGCGTAGGTAGACCTGTAGGTGGATGCCCACCTTGCACAGACCTGTGTGGCATGTGGTTTGCAGGGGGCTATATGTTCTGTGTTTGTGGGCATGTGGATTGGTGTGTGATCAGGCACCAGCACTGTGCCCAGCACTGCTGGCCCTCACCATCCTGTCCAGCTGGACCAGGATCCCAGGCCTGAAATCAGCAGCTCTGAGGGAAACAGGAGCAGCCAGGTGGGGGGTCTTTGGACCTCCCCTCCTCCCAGAACCCATCCCAGGCCCTGCTCAGTGCCTTAACTGCCAGCTGCCTGACCACTCTGTCAGGACAAAAATGGATTCAGTCTGAACAAGCTGGAGGGACCGTATGGCCTCCGAATAGTTCAGCCTGAGCCCATTTAGAGATGGGAAGACTGAGGTTCAGTTGTAGGCCACACAAATTTGTGACAGCAGCTCTGAGGCAGGGCCCTTAGGGAGGAACTGCATAAGATGACCCTTCCAAGTCCAGGGCTTCTGAGTTCTAAACACCCCACCCGCAAAGACAACATGACCAGTGGAAGGGCCAGGAGTCTCTGGAGCCAGATGGACCTGGATTCGAGTCCCAGTTTCCCCATTTACTAGCAGGTGACTTTAGACAAATGTCTTACCTGCTCTGAGCCCATCTCCTCAGCTACAGAATGGAACAGCAAATCCCCTCTAGTGGGGTTGCTGTGAAGTTTAAGTGAGATGATGTTTAATCAGCACTTAGAGCCCAATAAATGTGGTTCCGTTTGGGGGGCTTCTTCAGGCTGGTAGGGAGGAAACTTAAAGGGAAGAGGTGAGCCAAGCCCTGCCAGGAGGGGACCACCCTGGGGTTAGACCATTGGTTCTCACACCACCAACTGTCCTCCCGCCCGACTTGTGCTCCATGGCACAGCACTGGGGGATGGGCCACCGCAAGCCAGCCGGGCTTGTCTCCCCAGCTGCCTGGGCTCCCTGGATATGCAAGGCTAGGACGCCCCCTAGCCCCTCTCAGGTGCCCGCTGCCCCACCTGGCCGCGCTCCACAGGGAGACCTGCAAGGACCGCTGCTGAGCAGGCTGGTGGGGCTGGAGCTGGACACACGACAGGGCACAGCCTCTGCCAGCCTCCAGCTCTGACCCTCTGCTGCCCGCCCTCAGGCTATGAGGCCCTGGCTGAGGCCCCATGCCCCACAGCGCTGCCACTGCAGCCATCTGAAGACGTGGTGCCCAGCGGCCCTGAGGACTGTGGCTTCTTCCCCAATGGGGCCTTCGACCACTGCCTGAGTCACATCCCTTCCATCTACACGGACACCTGAAGAAGGCCCCGCCGCCATTCCGCAGATGCTGCTGCTTCCGCCTGCCGTGGTCTGCCACCCTCCCTGCCCCAGGCCAGAGCAGCCAGGTGCCCACGCAGGTGCTGGGTGCTATGGCAGCCACCCAGCGCCCCCCATGGGGGTGCTGTCTGGGCTCAGAGGTGCCCACCAAGGGTCATGGCCCTGTGACAGTCCCTGGATTGTGTCTTCCTGTTTCTCCTACGGTTTTGAAATCACAGACCTCGTGTATATAAAGTGTACAGACTTATTTCCCATTACCATGCCAGTTTTATATTTTTGGTTTTACAAGAAAAACATTAAAAACTGGAAACAAGACTTGGGGTCTGATTCTGTTCTGTGATTCAGCTTAGAAGTCCTGACCAGGAGAACCTGACGGGAGTATGGAACAGAGAGCTGGGTGCAAACCACCTCGGGCCTGGGCAGCTGTGGAGCTGGGAGCCAGTGTCAGCTGTCCCCTATCACATCATCCCAGGACAACACTGCCAGGCAGGGTTATTTCCAGAAACAGGTGAGCAAACAGACCAAGAGAGGTTCAGTGACCAGCCCGGCCCCAGCTCTGTCCTATCCAGCCCCCTGCTGGCAGTGCCACTCAGCTGGTAGGACAGCAGGCTATTTTGCTGCCTGCCTCTATGAATAGAGGGCAGGAAGAGTCCCCCAGGAGAGAGCCCAGCAGCTTCAGAAGGTAAGGGACAAGGGCAAGTCCCTGTAGACCGGCAAGGTACAGAAAGCATCCTTTGCCCAGGGAGCCCCGCACCTAGCCTCGGTGGCTAAGGCCAGAGAGGAGACCAGTCCCTGGGCTGCAAGGCTAGCCTGGCTCTGCCTCCTGGCCTTGTCAGGCTCTCTCCAGCACCCAGCAGAGAGAGCAAACCCACTGTCCATGCCTGTGCAGGTGACCTGAATAGTGACCCACATTTCGCTGTGTCACCTTGAAGGTCACCTGGTTAAAAAATAGGAAAATTCTTGCCATCTCCATTGAAGAAACAAAGCAAGGGAGGTCACATAGCCTGTGTGCCAGGCCCTCTCCCTACCCCTGGAAACAGCCTGGGGAGGGTCTTCTTGCCCCTCTAGCTGAGAAGTGGCAGGCAGGACTAACCCCAGGCCAGGGGACCCTGCTTTGTGTACTGCACAGCTGGCTTACGTAGGCAAAGGGCAGTGGGAAGATCTCATCAGCCCCCTGTTCATAGGGGGAGCCGAGGCTCACAGAGGACACCCAGTGAAGCAGTGACCGACTGGACTGTCTGCCTAGCTCCTGCATCATCTGGGGACACCTTGGTCACACCAACTCTGGGCATCTTCCCAGGAGGACCGAGCAGACCTCTGTGCTGGGTGTCCAGTCCCTCTGGCAGCTGCACTCGAGCTGCTTCCCCAGGACCAACCTGGAGCCCTGGGTGGGAGACAGGGATGCCTGGCAGCCGTGTCCCACTGAAGGTCTTGGCTGCAGTGAAGTGGCCTCTCCCCTGGCCCCCTCTCCAGGCTGGGTGGTGCTCCCTGTCCCTCTAGCATGGGCTTGCTCCCACTGTGAGGAAGCCAAGTGCTATGGTCTCTCTTGCCACCCTGCCACCCACCCCTGGGTGGCAGCCCCTTCCTCCAGCTCTCCTCACGACCCAGTCTGAGCACCAGCTGTTACTTGCCAGACCATGACTGATACTTGCCCCCATTTTACAGATACAAGGACTGAGGGATGGTGAAGTTGAGTCACCCATCCATGGGACATAGTCAGCCAGGAGTAGAGCTGAGACTCAGAGTCAGGCCTTGGGCTCCTGCCCTGGCTCCCACCTCCCCTTTCAGCCATGGCTTCCCTGCCTGGGCCCAGTCCAAGCCCCCAGCAGGGCAGGGGGCTGACCCAACTTCACACAGCATATCGGGCTCTCAACTCCCACCCAGGATCCCTCACCCCCACATCCCATCCCCCACAGATTTTATGGAACTAATTAGGCTGAGGCAAAATTTCCTTCACAGGGATGCTCAGGAATCAATGCTGCATGTCATTGTCAGTACTTAATCCACTCCAGATAAGCAGAATTAAGCTGTACAATGAGGACATATTTCTATTAATAATGGAAAGGGCTGAGCCCCAAGCGGAACACACAGGGAGCTGGCAGTTGGATCCCATTTAATTTCAGAGGGGACAGAGGGAGGAAAGGAGACAAAGGCAGAGAAACAAAGAGGAGGCGGACGAGCCGGCCAGAGCCCTGCACACAGTAGGGCTCGTGGGGTCGCAGCCAGCCTGGCGGCTGAGTGTCAGTGTGATTCCCTCCTGGGGACTGTCCCCATGCCTGTTGGCACACTCACGCTGACACAAGTAGTGCATCCTCTGCATTGACCCTTGTTCTGCCTCAGCCCTGTGTCCCCTCCTGTTTCTCTCCTCTCCTCCATGGTCTTTCTCCAGCCGCAACTGTGCATGTGAAAATCCTCTTCGACCTGCCAGGTGCCTCAAGGTCAGGACAGCTTTCTTCTCTCCTCAGTCCCTCTGATCTGTGGCCCAGAGAAGCACAGTGGCCTGCCCGAGGGACTCGGAGCCCTGGTGGCTGAGGAGGAGGGGCTCATAAGAAGAATCCCAGGAAAAAACCCCTTGGGAAGGGCCCCTCAATCAAACCAAACCCCAACCGCCAAGGGGCCCCGGGTAAGGCCGGGCAAGAAGAACCTCCCCCCGAACCCGGGGCCAAGCCCAGGATGCCCTCTGTGCTGTGCACAAGGATTCCCCACACCTGGTCCTGCCCTCCAGGACCTCACCAGGCTCCTTCCATGTTCTCAGAGCATCAGGCTGAGAAGGCCACTGAGGCCCACAGTGCCCTTCCCTGTGTCACACATGGAAAGACAGAATCCTCTGAGAAACCTCCCAGGCCCGCAGCTCTAGCTCCAGCTGGGTGTGAGGAAGTCAAGCAGGATTCGTTGGGGGACAGGCAGGCTTGTGCCTTGGACGCCTGCTCCACTGGACAGGGACTGAGCTGGTGAAGCAGCCACTAGAACACAGGCCCTGGAGGGCAGCCCCACCCTGTCCTTTCCACTGCCAAATGTAGGCTCCCAGGGCAGCCCCTGGTCACAGCAGCTGCTGGGTACCTGCTTGTCAAATCTATCCACGAGCAAGAGAAAGAAGCAGGGCAACCGACCTGCCTCCACAGAGCCTCACACACAGTAGGGCCACAACAAATATCTGTGAGCTCGGTTTCCCCCTCTAAGTGAGGACCCAGGCACAGATTGGCCTTAGAGCAGGTGGGACTAGCAGTGAAGAGCCCAGACCCCTGGGCCCCGCCCACACTCTAACCACCTATCCTCTTAGTGCACCCCAAACACTAATGCAGCCAGCACAAGCCCATCGTGAGAGCCTCTGGGGTTCTTCTGGTGGCAGCCAGCACTTTCTGGCTCCTAAAGAATGTAGAGTCACCCATTTGGCAAGGTGTGTGTTGTGACCCATTTTGCAGAGGAAAGAACTGAGGCTCAGAGAGGTAACTCATCTGGACAGAGCTGGAATTCTGTGACATCTCCACCCAGCCCACCTTGCCCTGCTGGTCTTCATGACAGACCAGGACTTGGGGCCCCCCAGGAGCTGCCTGAGGATTTCTGGCAATGTACCCCTCTTGCCCATCCAGAGGGGCCCATTATGCTTTTATAAGTCCTGATTTATATACTTGCCTGGGCCATCAGCCCTGCCAGAGATTTATAGGTTTCTAAGTGGTCAGGTCTCTGGAGAAAATACAAATAGAAGTGAATTGGGAAGGACTTGCCAGCCCCGCGGCTGAAGAACTGAAGCCTCGACTTACTCCCAGGGGCCCGGGCCTGCAGGACAGCCGTTATGGTGATGGACTTGGATGCGGGGGTGGGGGGGGCTATTTTTAGGGCAGTTGAGGTTCAACGTGATGGAGGGTTGAGGGCACAGGGGGATGAAAGTGAGCTTCATTGGAGTCAGAAATGCAGACACTGGAGGATGAGCCCATCATGAGAGCCTCTGGGGCTCCTCTGGTGACATTTCTACTCTGGTGCGTGCGTGAAATTTTCCAGAAAAGGATTTAAGCAGTCTGGCGTGGCCAGGCTGGGATTTTCCTGCGTAGCTGGCAGCTTGGTCAAGTACGGAAGCCCAGTGTGGCTCACCCAGGCCGAGGCTTTATTAGGAAAGATGAACCTGAGCTCCAGACTCTCCCCTATGTGACTCTCTTGTCATAGCAGAGACCATGTTGGTGGCCCTGCCTCCCAGGCGTCCAATATACGGCCTGACACACAGTTGGGGTTTCATAAGTGCTTTTTGAAGATAATTTGTCAGTGATAAATAAGAATACAGCAGAACTAGAGCCAGGGCAAGGAGAGGTCTCCTCCTGAGGGTGCTGGCTACGCCTGGGAGTACAGGAGACGGGATCTTTGATCCCAACCACAAGGTTCTGCAGGGTCCCCTGGAGAAAGGGAGAGACTGTGCTACGAGACTCCCGAGTGGGTTGGGGTTGGGGCAGGGGGTGGACAATTCCTAGATTTATGAAAGCAGAGCCTCTAACATAAAATGAACTGCTATGGGATGAAAGCAAGCTCTCTGTCCCTGGGGGGTGTGCAAACAGGAGCAGGCAGAAAACTGCAAAGCAGTCCTGTCACTCAGTCAAGGGCTCGATGGCCCAACGGGGACTCTGTGACAACAGCTCTCTCACATCTTCTCAGGCCGCAGTGGGTGTCCACCCCAGTACTGTTCCCAAGGCTGGACATAGGACAGGGATGTCTAGTGATTAGCTGTGCGACTGCAGGGAAAGCAGGAGGGCAAGGCTGGGGTTACTACCTCAATGTTTTCTCGGCAGTTTGGGGCTGGCAGACTTTGGCAACCCAGGACAGAAGGAAGAGGTGGCCCTGCTAGAGCCCTTGCTCTCTGCTGCCTCGCGTTTCCCAGCAGGGAGCCTGCCAGTCAGGAAAGCAAGCCTGGTCAGACTGCAGGGAAAGGGCAGTACTGACCCAAGGCTGCGGGCTGGAACACGCTGGCTTCAGGCACCCGGCCAGAGCAGGGCCCACGTCTCTCTGCACCCCTGCTTCACAGATGGGGAAACTGAGGCTCCAAAAGTCAGGAGGACTGGTGGAGGGTGGGTGGGCATTATGAACAGGAAGGGAAATCAAGTGCTGAAGGAGAAGGCAGTGAGGCTGAGCACCCTTCTCACCTGCTGGCCTGGCCACGCCCTCAGGAGCATCACAGGAGGAAAGGCCTCCTCCACCTGCCTTGCCCTCACACTCCGGCCTCATCTGCAGGTGGGAACCACACTCCCAGATGTCCTGGCTCCTGGGAATAAAGAGCCCTGTGTGAAGTGCTGTGCCCAGGATGCCTGGGATTTCCACTGGAGTCTTCCCCT